AGGAGGTAATGACCTCCTTTTACATTTATTATCAGAAGGTACCTTTGAGCATGCCCTAGCATTCACATTTTGTGGGCAATCCCTTCTATAATGTTCTCTTGAACCACAATTGAAGCATTCTCCGATAGTATATGCTCTATCTGAACTATCGGGCCTTCTTAAAGGTTTTTCCTTTTTATGAAAAGCCGCCCTGCATTTTCACAGGTTATCTTCAGCAATCAATCTGCCAGATAACACTTCTAAAGATAAGTTATTACAACTAACATTATCCAGTTGCGATATAAAATTATCCCAGCTAGGATCAAGGGAATTGAGTATAACAGTAATGAGGGTTTGTTCAGACACTGTTTCCCCCCTCAACATCAATTCCTGCCTTAACCTGTTTAACTCACATAAGTGTTCATTAATATCTACTCCCGCCTTCAACCTTGCGGAATAGAACTCCCTATAAACTCTGTTTGTAACATGGGAGCTTTTTGAACAAAATAGCTTATGCAGTTTCACCCAAACTTCTGTTACGGTCAGGTTACTAGGTATATTGGGATATAGTGCAGGGTCAATGGACATCAATAAAATACAAAAGGCCTTATGATGTAAAAGATCAACTTCTAAGGACCATGGTCTAGGTGGGGGTTTTAACAACAACGATAAAACATTCTCTTTCATTAAGGTTACTTGAATACTCTTAATCCATTCCTTAAAATTTCCTCCACCCACACTTAAACTTTTAAAATTAGGAGAAAGGACCTGTACATTATTAAACATGGAAACAGACATTAATTGATGTTCAAAATGTGGTCCGTCCTGGAACGGGAAATAAGGCATTGGAATGGAAGCACACAGCACAGTGTCTTCCATCTGGCATTCTGACAATCGTTCCTCCCCAATGGGAGGGATTAAAACTTCAGGTTGTGCAGATGCAAAGCTCATCCTGGTTTGATCACAAAAGCTCGAGGGTCCTCTCTGGTGCACATCTCTAGGAATTTTTGGACGCGCTCCCAAATTCCTATCTTCAGTCGAGGCAGCTTCCAGAACCGTCCTGGATGTCGATGTCATCACGGATGGATATATCCCACTCGTGGCGTGCGCTGAATTAGTCGCAGACATCAGGGGTACTTTGGTATGTGCAGCTACTATTTGTTGAGCTGATGGCGCCTACAAACCATCGCCTAAAATGGTTGCCAAAGTTTCTATCACACTTGCAACCTTATGCTCAACATGAGAGTCTCTTAAATTTTTAGCAGAAGTCATTGATGTCATCATGGGAGCTAAAGTCTTTATGGCCTGATCTATGATGGCTTCAACAGCAGGTGGTGCAATATCAACTTGGCCATGCTGGTTTAACAAAGAAGCAGGAACATTCGAATCAGGCAGTTTGTTATCCCTCATTCTCCACTTATGATCTGAGGTGGGGGTTTTAAGAAAAGATTGAAAGTCTCTTACCGATCCGGTGTTTTCTAGGACTTCGATCTTCTTTCCTTTCATGTCTGGATTCTTTAATAATCCGCTAGAATCAGCAGTCGGGTTCTGACTTACTGTGGGCAAACCTAAAAACTGAAGGATTGCCTTCCTAAACTCATCATCCACCTCTGTATTTGTTTTCAAGACCTGAAGTGGCGTTCTTCCAGTCTCTACTTCTTTAGGTGATGATGGTTTATTCACTATCTTAGGCCCTTCAAAAGTTGAGGCCTCTGCTCCAAAACTTACAGCTCCACTATTCTCTAAATCAATTAGAGTTTGGGGTTTTTCAGCCAAAACATTTTTGGCCTGAGCCCCAGACAGTCCAGTTAGTGACTTCATACTTTTTGCTGCTGCTGCTGCCCTAGTCAACGTCTGTTCAACTGCAGACATTCCAGTCTAGCACATTACCACATGAGCGTAGGTTCGTTAAACCATCCTCTACTACCAACTGTTATGAAATGGGGTTGAGGGGTACCCCAGACCGTGAACCAGCTCATGAGCAAACACACTGAGACTGAAATAATTCTGACAGAGGCGCCTTGTGTAAAAATATAATTTACTTTAAAACATTTAAAAAGCACTATGTCTTTAAGAAAGCATATTAAAAACAAAGTCAAATCTGGGTATGTGAAGCAAGGCTAGATCCCTCTCCACAATACTGAAACAGTTCACAAGAGAATAAAGCTAGCATGAAGGTAAGCAGCTTTGGCGTCGATACATCATCAAGGCGATCAAAATGGGGGCAGCACGAACTTCACAGATGAAAGTCACCTGAAGTAAAAACAGTTCAAACAGCAAACATTGCTTAAAGCTTGTGGGAGGAAAAAGGTCCAGCAGCAGTCCCGATGATAGCTTGCGTGCTTCAAAACAGCAAAAGGCAAGCATCCGTGGGAGTTTCTCTGCAACGGCGTCTGGAATCCTTATCTGCATTCTTCTCCCATCTGCGGCGTTGCACTAAGCTTCCTGCAGGAGCTGTGCATTTAGGCCTAAACCAGAAGTCTAGGCCCAAGTAGCAAGCGAAAAGGTCCTTGCTTATATGGGGAGTTAACCTGCAATTAACTAGGGCGGGGAAGGCTTGCAGGTAATTACAAACAGGAGATGGCTTGATTGAAACCATACTGTTTGTGAGTAGGCAAGTAGCCACAGCAATCCTGGAAACACTTGTGACAAAAAGGTCCCAAGTTCTTGGCCTGGCCAGACAGCTCGATATCGCTAGAACCAGAACAACATGAGCTTCTAGACCCAGATCAAGATGCGGACATTGGACCTCATGAGCTCAGCAAACCTCCCAGGTGGGTCAAGGAAGCAACCGTACAGGCCACCTGCTTGTCGACTACAGTCAATGAGGAAACAAAATGGCCCCCTAGACATCCACTGGAATCAGCTCATTTCGAACGCATCTCCAGATGGAAGTCCCTGGTACGGGGAACAACCACACTCATACGTATAGTGTATCACGATATAACCTTCTCAGACTGTCAGCTCATAGCAGAGAGTGTAATTTTACAAAGTGTGCAGCGAGAAGCATACCCGGCATTGGTGAAGTATCTAAAAGCCGAGAAGCTTGTGCCGAAATCTAGCCAATTGCTGAAACTGAACCCATTCCTAGACAGCAACAACGTACTTAGAGTTGGAGGGCGTTTAGACAAGGCAAAATTAGACTCAAATGTAAAATACCCTATCATCCTTCCTGCACGCCAACATGTGACGAATCTGATAGTCCTACACTACCACAAAACTGTCCACCATCAAGGCCGCCACTTCACAGAAGGAGTGTCAGAGCTGCAGGATTTTGGATTGTGGGCGCCAAGAGGACCATTGTGTCTGTCCTGCACAGGTACATACATTGTCGGAGGCAATGAAGTGTGACACAACACCAGAGGATGGCTGACCTACCTCCTGAACATTTCAGCACAGGACCGCCATTTACCAACGTGGGCTTAGATGTTTTTGGTCCTTGGTCAGTGTCTGCCCGCAGGACCAGAGGTGGCCAAGTTAACAGCAAACTCTTCACGTGTCTTAGCATTCGAGCTGTTCACATTGAAGTCATCGAATCTATGGACACCTCCAGCTTTATCAACGCTCTACGAAGGTTCCAAGCCCACAGAGGCCCAGACGCGATGTTTAGATCGGACCATGGAACAAACTTTGTAGGAGCCTGCAAGGAGTTACAGATCAGTGAGGGCATTCATCTTGATTCGCCAATCGATGACAACCTGAATGCCAAAAACTCTGTATGGACATTCAATCCTCCCCATGCCTCCCATATGGGAGGAGTATGGGAATGAATGATTGGAATAGCCCATAGAACTCTAGACTCCATGTTGATGAAGACATCCGTGTTAACCCATGAAGTCCTCACCACCCTCATGGCAGAAGTAGCAGCTATCATCAACACCAGACCCTTGGGCCCGGTTCACTCGGATCCCGAGAATCCGACTATCCTCACCCCAGCCACTTTGCTGACCCAGAAGATGGGTTAATGGCCAGCACCGGCAGGGAGCTTCGTCCCAAAGGACATGTATGCACAACAATGGAGACAAGTTCAACTGTTGGCCAATACCTTTTGGAAGCGCTGGAAACAAGAATACTTGTCTACTCTACAGGAGCGCTGCAAGTGGAAGACTAAGGAACCTAACCTTGAGGAAGGGGACCTTGTCCTGTTGAAGGACAAGGATGTGCATCGGAACTCGTGGCCCATGGGACTTGTACATCAAGTTTTGCCCAGTTCTGATGGACTAGTCTGCCAAGTCGAAGTTCTGATTGCGAAGCTGGAGCAGTTACCCACTGGTCAGCTTAAATCTACCAGAAAGATCTACGCCAGGCCAATCACCGACCTGGTACTGCTACGAAGGAAATCTGAACTTTTAGTACTAGAAGACCTTCAAGACTGAACCTCAAGCTTTGCATGAATTGTGTCTACCCAACAACCTGCATTGTTTGATGATATAATCTTGTTTACTTTAGTCACTTAGATAGTTACATTGCATTGTTTTCTACTATGCCTTTGTTTATCTCAGTTAAGTAGTTAGTTAGTAGTGAAATTTTATAATTCCAGGCGGGGAGTGTGCTGTTACAGATAGTGAATTGTGGTGAGTTAGTTACCTTAAGGATTAAGAGCTGTCTCCTTAAGAGATTGCATTGTGGGAGATGTAGTGAGAGATTGCATTATGGGAAATGTAGTCCATGACGTGACCATATCTGTGTGTCTGATTGGCCACCGAGGCTTTCTGCCGGGGTTTTAGAAAAAGACCTGGCCATATGTTGAATTACCTCAGAAAAGAGAACATGCTTTCTGAACAGGGGGACAAACTACCATCCTTTTACACTAGGAAATGGGACAGATTATGAAATATGGGTGCACCTCACTTGGACTCACTATGATTGTAAATCTTACGTGTTCAAGGATTCCCAAATAAATATAATCTGCATGAAAACCTGTTTGCTGGAGTTTATCTGCTTGTTCCCAGTGAAGCCAGATGCCTGGGGAACAGAACATTAACCTTTCTTTTTTCTTTTTCTTTTTTTGTCATTTTTAGGTGCTTTAGCATTGGGTTGCTATCCATCACCAGAGGGAAATCTTTATCGTAAACTTTTACTGATTCCTTCTTATATGAGTGAAGTTGAAATGCTATTAGCAATTGAAATGTTTTTGGTTTCAAATGCCAGTAGTATTCAGAGTCCTGGAGCTTCCAATCAAATACTTCAAATAGTATTAAAAAGGTTAGTATATATTCCAAATCAGCTGAAAAAGTTGTTCATGTATTGATTTATCCTGTGAAAAAGATGTATTATTTTATTATTAATTTAGATATTTATTTGACAACCAATAGACTAACAAAATTGACATAAATTCTGCTGTCATTTCCAGTCATGGAAATGTTGCTACTGAAAATTTTCCACAACAATAGAATGTTAATCATAACTCTTGTGATTTTGCATTTTTTTCCAGATGTGAAGGTAACAATATTCAAAACAGTGAGGAATATCAGAATGCTACAGAGAGACTGTTTCAGGCTGTTCAGATATCTAATCCAAAGCTTTTCATAAAGCATTTGACAGTCAATATTAATAAGGACCAAATTTATAGTTTGGAGTATACTTCTGTACTTAAATGGTTGAAAGAGAATATGAAATGGGCAGGAAAAACCTGGCTTTTTTAGTCAAAATTTGGTTACAGTAATCATTGCTTAAAATAAATCAATAAAGATTGTTTCTGTTGTTTTCATACTCTTAATAATTTTATCTTTTGGTTTTTAACATTAAAAAAACAATTCAGAATATGGCTTTCTAGGCATGGTCATTCAGAAGAGCCTATTCTTGATCATTTTTTTTTCTGTGTCAAAATATTCTCACAGTTCAAGATTAGAATTAGAGGTTTCATAATCTTTACCGTCTTTCAAAAACAAGGCTGTTGCCGTGCAAATTAGTTTATAGTTCTGAGGACAGTATAGTTTGCGAAATACTTGCGTACTTAAACAGTTGGCTTTTTTAGTCAATGAAGACTTTTGTTACAGTAATCATTGTTTAAAATGAATAAATAAAGCTTGTTTCTGTTGTATTCAGACTCCTATTTACTTTGTTCAACGTTAGTTTCTAACAAAAGAAAATAATACAGAAATTTGGTTTCTAATGTGATCATACAGAAGGACCAATCTTTTTTTAAAAAAATAACTATTAAATTTTTTAAAACTAAAAAAACCTAATATTTGAGAAAAAATAGTAAAACAAAAAAACAAAGGCAAAATGCTGGAAAAAATGATTTCTGATTTTATTTTATTTATTTTACAACAAATATAAATATAAATTCTCCAGTCTAAGTTTACAACATAACTTGCATATTTATATTACTACCGTATTATTGTTTCTAATAATCAAACCCATATATTATAATTTATAATTTCATTTTTTTTCTATTTTTTTCTATTTCCCACAAAAAGTCCAAAAAAGTCTTTCAGTCAGCATTAATGTTTTCTCCAATCAAAGCTATCATTTTTGCAGTCTCAGCCACTTTCATCTTCACTAATCATTCTTCCATTGTAGCTAATGTCAAGTTTTCGTACCATTGTGTATATGAACACTCTGATTATCATACAAAAGAGCAAAGTCCATGAATTTTTTCTGTTCATCCATCATAGACAAGTATTTTAGACAATTTTACTAGTATTATAGACAAGTATTTTTCTGATGACAAATACTAACAGTACATCATTTTATAAAATTTTTCTTTTAAGATTATAATGTAAATTTTATCCTTTCATCCACATACCGTGTTCCCCTGAAAATTTAATTTAATTTAATTTATCGCATTTCTATGCCACCCAACTCCCAGGGGACTCTGGGCGGCTTACAGCAAAAATAATGCAAACATAGAAAAATTGTTAAAAAACATTGTAAAAACATTTTAAAACATTAAAAACCCATGCACACCATTCATGGCCGGAACTTGTAAAATTGCAACAGCGAGATCAACGGCCCCAGGCTTGCCGGAAAAGCCAGGTCTTCACCGCTTTCCGGAAGGCCAATAGGGTAGGGGTAATCCAGATCTCAGGAGGTAACTGGTTCCAGAGAGCTGGGGCAGCCACAGAGAAGGCCCTCCCCTGCGGGCCCGCCAGCCGGCATTGTTTAGCTGACAGGACCCGGAGGAGACCAACTCTGTGGGATCTTACCGGTCGCTGGGAGGTATGCGGTAGAAGGCGGTCTCGAAGATAGCCTGGCCCCGAGCCATGTGAGGCTTTAAAGGTAATAGCCAACACCTTGAATTGTGGCCAGAGACCAATTGGGAGCCAGTGCAGCTTGCGGAGAATTGATGTAATGTGGGTGTATTTAGGTGAACCCACAACAGCTCGCGCAGCTGCATTCTGGACCAACTGTAGTCTCCGAACACTCTTCAAGGTTAGCCCCATGTAGAGCGCGTTGCAATAGTCTAACCGTGAGGTGAAAGGGCATGAGTGACTGTGAGAAGAGCCTCCTGATCCAAGTAGGGTCGCAATTGGTGCACCAAGCGAACCTGTGCAAAGGTCCCCCTAGCTACAGTAGCCAGATGTTGCTCTAATCTTAGCTATGAGTCTAGAAGAACACCCAAATTGTGAGCCCATTCTGAGGGAGACAATTTCTCTCCCTCCCCCCTCCCAGAACCAAGGATGGACAGTCGACAGTCTTTAGGAGGCAATACCCACAGCCACTCGGTCTTGTCTGGATAAGTTTGAGCCTGTTGACTCTCATCACAGCCTCCAGGCACCGGCACATCACATCCACCACTTCACTGAAATGACACGGGGTGGAGATATACAGCTGGGTATCATCAGTATATTGCTGATACCCCACCCCGTATTGTCGGATGATCTCACCCAGCGGTTTCATGTAAATGTTAAATAGGGGAGAGAGGACCGAGCATTGAGGCACCCCGCAAACGAGGGGTCTAGGGGTTGGCCTCTTATTTATTTATTTAGCGTATGTCACACACAGTATTAAAACACTTCATTTTTACAGGTTAAAAACAATTAAACCAATAAAAAAACAGTAAGAAAACCTAAAAGGAAAACAGAAATAACATTTCAAAGTTTAATGTCGAGTTTGGAGATCCAGTCAGTAACTGCCGTTGTTATGCAGAGGAAGTCCTTAGAATCTCCTGGATATCTTCTGTTAGGGCATTCCCTCACTATATGCTGGATAGTCTGTCGAGGGGCCCCGCAATCACATTGTGCTGAAGGTGTCTTTCCCCATTTATACAGGGAGTCAGCACACACCCCATGAGTTGTTCTAATTCTATTATATGTCACCCATATGTGTCGGGGTAGGCTAAATCCTGGAGGTATACTACTAGGACTGATATGCTCGGAGACATCTCAGAGGGAACAGCTATTCCACGCCTCCATCCACTTTTGTGTGGTGCTCTGATGATCGGCCATCAACTTACATGCTGTCAAGATTGGTGGATTTCTTGACTTTAATCGGCATCTTAAGAGATCAGGAATGTATCCATGTATGGGTAGAGAGGAATTTAATAGGATCTTACTATACTCCCGAATGAGAGCTTCTTGTCATCATAAGTGCGGGGGGAGTATGTGCGGGGGTCGACCTCTGTCCTCCTGCCAACACCATCTGTGACCGACCAGAGAGATAGGAGGAGAACCACCGTAACACGGTGCCTCCCACTCCTAACTCCCTTAGTCGTCCTAGAAGGATACCATGGTCAATGGTATTGAAAGCTGCTGAGAGGTCAAGTAGCACCAAGATAGAGGAATGACCCCCATCTCGGGCTCGCCAGAAATCATCCATCAGCGTGACCAAAGCAGTTTCCGTGCTGTAGCCAGGCCTGAAGCCAGACTGAAAAGGTCTAAATAATCTGTTTCCTCCAATGACCGTAGGAGCTGAAGTGCCACCACTTTCTCTACAACCTTTCCCACAAAGAGTAGGTTGGAGACTGGATGAAAGTTCTTTAATTCTGCTGGATCCAAGGAAGGCTTCCTGAGGGGGGCCTTACAACCGCTTCCTTTAGTGGTTGCGGGAAGGACCCCTCCCTCAAGGACGCGTTAACTAAAACCTGGAGCTAGCATCGTGTCACCTCCTTGCTGGCCGAAACCAGCCAGGAGGGGCACAGGTCCAACAAACAAGTGGAGGAACTCATTACTCCTACAGCCTTGTCCACTTCCTCAGGAGTCACAGGCTCAAATTCATCCCACACAATAGGACTAAGACCTGCCCCCGTCATCTCGGTCAGAATTGCCCAATCAGAGTCCAGGTCCATCCAAATCTGATCGACTTTATCCGACAGAAACTGCACAAACTCCTCAGCTGTACCCTGCAAGGGCTCCTGCACTCCCCCTACATTAAGGAGGGAACGAGTCACCCTAAATAGGGCAGCTGGGCGCGAATCATACGACATGTCCCGAAAATAAGGCCAAGCCTGATTTTTGGCGTGGGCATAAATATACGCCCTCCCCCAAAAATAAGCCCTAGTGAAGGGGTGGGCGTGGCCAGCACAGGAGGCAGCCCTTCCCCGGTCACCAGGAGGTTCAGCCCCATAATTGCTGCCCACTGATCAGATGAGGCAGCAACAGCTGTGCAACTTGGCCCAGATCTCCAGAGCACCTCTCCAGCTGCCGGCCTACTTCCCCTTTTCCTGCTGATCATTCTTTACTTGGGATTGTAGCACAGATGCCCCTGCCAGGATTGTAAGGCTGAAGGCTTCGGATGGAGCATTTTGGGGGTAGGGGTGTTTGTGCTGCGATCCCAAAGAAAGGACAGGCTGCAGGAAAATCCGCTCCCCTTTTCCTGCCGATTGTCCTTTACTTGGGATTGCAGGCCAGACAGACATCCCCAAAATGCTCCATCCGAAGCCTTCAGCCTTGCAATCCTGGAAGGGGAGTCTGCTGTGATCCCAAAGAAAGAACGTGTGTGTGTGAGAAAGAGAGAGATCTGATACAACCTCGGAGAGTTATCCAGGGCTGGCAGCAATGTTCTCTCCATCCCCCTCCCTCTCACACACACACACTCACTCCCCCAAACCTCACTCCCCCAAACCTCCCAAGGCAGCCACATCCCTTCACTAACCTGCTTTCCAGCTCCATTCTCCACCATCACATGCGGGGCAAGAAAAGTTATCTATGAGACTACAGTAAAAACACCTTCCAACTTCGCGAGCATTTTTTTTCTTCATGAGAAGTTGGAAGGTCTGAACTACTGGTATTTTTTTTTTTACCTTCCAACAGACTACTTTTCTTGTCCTGAACACGCAGTGGAGAACGGAGCTGGAAAGCAGGTTAGTGAAGGGATGTGGTGCCCTGGGGGGGGGATTTGGCATGAGTGCCTGGCTGAAGGGTAAGCCAATGCGGGGCCTTGGGGCAGCTCTGCAACCCCTGCCTTGCTTTGTCCTCCACCCCACACCCCACTGCCTTGCTTCATTCTTCTTTACAATGTGCAGCCTCTCACAGTAAGGAGAATTGCAGGCAATTCTTGCTACTGTGAGAGGCTACATGTTGCTTCTGGGCAGTGTGCAGTGTTGCATCTTCTGTAACATTCACAAAGGCAGGCCAGAGATGTTTGGGAAGGGGGCCACCTGGTAGAGTTCTGAAGACAGAACCGGAAGTAAAGGGCTCCTGGCCTGCGCTGTTTGTGGGCAAGGCTGTGTGGAGATTAGCTGTGTCTAAAGGCTGTTTGGAAACGGAGCCTCAAAGCCCTAAGTGGCGTTTAAAAAACCTGAACTGGGAGCCGAGGGGCCTGACATAAGTGGATCCCATGCTTTAAAGGCCAAGCAAGGTCTTCTTTAGGTGTGCGTATATACGGCCTAAAAGTTGGAGAAATAGTGCCACATTATAACCGCTGTGACAGTTCTCCAAAGCAGCGACTGGCCAGAAAAGGGCATGTCCTACCTAAGTGAACAAGCGCGGTGCAGGAGCCTCGGGACAGGGAGGCAGCGACTGAAAGTGGCAATACTCTGAACCGGTTCAGGTTGATGCTGTGAGCAAATTTGTGCGTGCCTCTTGGCCGGTTTAGCTCATTGGGTGGGGAAGCTGCATGATCAGAGTGCTTGGAGAGGGGCGGCCGAAGGGGAGCAGG